AACCTGCACCTCCCACCGGGCACAGGAGACAAGCTTATACTGCGACAGGTGAGAGTCTAGTCTGTACAACACACGCATTGCTGGCGAGGGAGTGGCGAGTGGCGAGGGAGTGGCGAGTGCATTGCTGCCTCGCATCGCCAACCTGCACATCCCTTCGGGCACGGGAGACAAGCTCATATTCCAACAGGTGAGAGTTGAAGGATGAGGGAATTCATTTTAAAAAATGGCGGAGTGATGAATGTACTTATGGTCCTTGTGTCCCTGGTGAGAGACTGTTGATTAGTAGCAGTAAGTATAGTACGCTGTTTTTCAATCTCATATCCCTGGTGATGATGAGAGACAGTTGATGGGTAACAGCAAGTACAGTACGTATAGGTTGTTCTAGTTCTTTTAACCTTGGCGAGCGACAGGTAACCTCCTAGCCCCGAACCACTATGTTGACCGGCCCTCATATGACATGTTGCTGAGGTGACCCTGATATGGCGTTGAGGTTACCTTGATGTGACATTGCTTTGACTAAGACTTTTCATGTCATTACAGTGAAATGAACCTCTTAGCACTCTCGTAATACTCTCATCATCCTCTCATCCTCCTCTCATCCTCCTCTCATCCTCCTCTCATCCTCCTCTCATCCTCCTCTCATCATCCTCTCATCCTCCTCTCATCATCCTCTCATCCTCCTCTCATCATCCTCTCATCCTCCTATCATCATCCTCTCATCCTCCTCTCATCATCCTCTCACCGTCATTGTCAGATAGCTCGCAAGCTGGGTTTAACAGGAGCTGCTGCATTGCCCAAGCGAGCCATTCAGGTACCTGCCATGCATTTTATGCTTCAACTGAGTGTTTGTAGGACTAACATGCTGCAAATTATCTGTACATGCATGTGAATGCTTTGCTGCTAAAGGTTTTCTTGGTCCATCTCTGCTTTGCTCAAACGTTACAATATTTACTTGCAATGTTTTTGTGATTCTGTACCCGTTTCACCTGTACCATGATACACTCCAGTTCGGATCGCGCATTGCAAAGGAAGCCAACAAGAGGGACTTCGGAAGTAATCGGGCTGCTAATTCAGCAGCAGTTGGTGAAAGATCCATTTTTGTTGGCACTTGACTTGAACCCACTGCAATTATAGTACATTTTATGTGCATACATTCTATTGACTGCGCCTTGTTAGCACCTCGGATGCAACGTGACATGAAATGTTCAGCTATCAGAGGAGATTAAAACGTCAGCAGCAAACATTCGTTATTCAGGGGGATTGGTTGGGAGTCTATGTAGACATTATTTATTGGCGTTTATGAACACCTTGAGTTGATGTAAAATCTAAAGCTAAGGCTTCTACGATTTTTGTTCGATGGAACAACAGTGCAGCTGATACCTCTGACATGGCATCACTAGGTGCATGTTCCAATCACGGACGACATCGCCGATGACTAGGCTGTGGAGTGGATGCCTCTTGATTCCTACATGGCAGATTTCCACTGGCGGGATTCTCTTTGTCGACCTAGCAGTCCGACCAAAAGGGCGAAATGACGCGCATTGGCGGAAATATTTTTTGTCTCAATTGCATCGACCTAGATTACTCTGACATCCCCACGTGGGAGTTTCCCTTAATTGGATGGACCGCGTTTGCGCCCGCCCCCCCACCCCGATTTTCCCGCCCCTCCTCTCCGAATTCGGGCAGCTGTGCTGAAGTTATGATATATCACAAACAGTCGCGATTTCAACCTAGAATTTCGTGGAATCACAAACAGTCACGAATACATGCTTTCCACATCATGCCAAATCCTCCAGGTCGTTGTGGCGAGCCACATCAGCTTTTGCACTAGACTCTTGATAATTTTGGCGGCTGCATCTCAATCTCAAAAGGCTCGTATGCACGTTGATTGTATCATATTTTTAGGACTAGCCCAAAAAGCGCAGGAAAATATATGACAAAAAAACCATAGTTTTGTTTGAAGTTTATAATATATTTGTATTAAGTTTTCCATGAAACATATAAAAAGACTCTATATTTTTTTTATTGATTTATAATAATATTAATTCATAGGAAAAATAAAATTAACTTTCTTTAAATAAGGTAGAGATTTTGTTTCAATGTACTGATTTGTAGTATGAAGAGTAGAAATATGAATATCCGATTAAATTTTTTAAAAAAGCTATATGTGAAATGCAGTGGCATACCATTGATAAAAATACATTAATGCTAAAAATCTCACCAAAAATCAAATTTATTATATTTATTATGCTCAAGATATTACTAATTACAGAATTTATCATATTTTAACTACGTTTGTCACTTTGGCGCACGAAATAAATCACCAGTGTTCTGTCCAATCAGTTGTCGCTCGCATGTTGAAATCTTTGAGTTACGAAAAAACATGTATTCGTGACTGTTTGAGATTACACGAAATTCGAGTGGGTGCCCGAATTTCGGATGGGAAGGCTGGGAAAATCGCGCGGAAAGGGCGCGCGCAAACGCGGTCCATCTAATTAAGGGAAACGCCGACGCGGTGAGGTCGGAATAATTTAGGTCAATGCAATTAAGAGAAACAAGATTTCCGCCGATGCGCATCATTTCGCCGACCGAAAGAGATGGCGAGGCCCACGAGGCTCAATCCAAGGGACAGGGGACCATCCAATCACACATTCAGCTGCCTGCAAGGCAGCCTCGTCACATTCCGCTTGCTGCAACATTCGTGCTTCCCCCAGGCCAGGAAAAACTATCTTGCATCCCCCCAATGTTCCCCCAGTTCCCATGTTCACCTTCCGCAATGCGCCCCCCTCGCTCATTCCTCCCCCCCCCCCCCCCCTTCCTTTCTCCTCCTTCCCTCCTTCGCTCATTCGTCCTCACTCATCATCCGCTTCCGTCGATAGCCGCTTCCCCCGCCTCCTTTCTCTCGTCCCCCACCCCCCTCCCGCTTCCGCCAAGAGTCATCCTGCTCCTGAATCCTGATGCAGACAAGCTCGCGACAAGATAAGAGCAGAGCTTTTTCAATGCACAATTCAGTCTGTTTGGCTGATCCGATCCTCCTCTCTGCTGCTCTCTCGATCCCTATCAGCAATTCCTCTAGCCTCTTGCTCGTCTGCAATCATGGCTTGCGCCACGGCCTCCACCCTCACCGCGACCACCCTCAAGGGTGCCGTCGCGCTCCGCAAGTCGGAGCTCCTCGGGAACCCAGTCTCCGTCGCTCCCTCCAAGGCCAAGGCCGTCCGCGCCGCGCCGGCCGTCTCCGCCATGTACCAGGACTCGGCCTACAACTTCCAGAACTTCAAGTTCCAGCCGATTAAGGAGTCGATCGTCGCGCGCGAGATGACGCGTCGCTACATGACCGACATGATCACCTACGCGGACACCGACGTGGTCGTCGTTGGCGCGGGATCCGCCGGCCTCTCCTGCGCGTACGAGCTGAGCAAGAACCCTAACGTCAATGTCGCCATCATCGAGCAGTCCGTGAGCCCCGGCGGTGGCGCGTGGCTCGGCGGACAGCTCTTCTCCGCCATGGTCGTCCGCAAGCCCGCACACCGCTTCCTCGATGAGCTCGAGATCGCGTACGACGAGGAGGAGGACTACGTGGTGATCAAGCACGCGGCGCTCTTCACCTCCACCATCATGAGCAAGCTTCTCGCGCGCCCCAATGTGAAGCTCTTCAACGCCGTGTGCGCGGAGGATCTCATCATCAAGAACGGACGTGTAGGTCCCCGAAATTCGTCACTCCCTTCACTGAAATTCCTTTTCCGTAACGTTTCCGCAACATCGTTTTCCGCAATTTACTTTTCCGCAACTTCCTTTTCCGCTCATATCTGCAACAATTCTGCAACCAGCTTCAATTCTCTCCCAAGTTCCGCACAGCCTAATAATTTTCCGCTCTTTGTTTGATTTTTTCATGTACAGGTGAGCGGTGTGGTGACCAACTGGGCCCTCGTGTCGATGAACCACGACACGCAGAGCTGCATGGACCCCAACGTCATGGAGTCCAAGGTCGTCGTGTCCTCCTGCGGCCACGACGGGCCCTTCGGCGCCACCGGCGTGAAGAGGCTCAAGAGCATCGGCCTCATCGACAAGGTCCCCGGCATGAAGTGCCTGGACATGAACATTGCTGAGGACGCCATCGTGCGTCACACCCGCGAGGTCGTCCCCGGGATGATCGTCACCGGCATGGAGGTCGCCGAGGTTGACGGCGCTCCTCGTATGGTACGGATCTGAGCCTTTCGCCGTTGGTTTTTTTGCCGGTGCAGAATCTAATTCTTTGCCTTGTGCTCGCCGATGCGCTCTGGTGGTGCGTGTGTGTGTTTCCCCCTTTTTTTCCCCTGTTTTTGTTGCTTTGTGTGAGCAGGGTCCCACCTTCGGTGCCATGATGGTGTCTGGACAGAAGGCGGCTCACCTCGCCCTCAAGGCCCTCGGCCTCCCCAACGAGGCTGACGGTTCGGCCTCTGACCTGTCCGCTCGTCCCGAGCTTGTCCTTGCCTCTTCCGACGACACCCCTGCCTCTGCTTAAGTTTCTGTTTGTTTCTTTACCAGCACTAGGGGTGCCTAGCCCGGGGCTCGGGAAGGCTGAGAACACACCCTTACCACCTGACCAGGGTAATGCCTGCGAAGGGAAGTGCATGGTCTGTGTAAATGTGTGTGCTCGCTTGCTCGTTTTTACATAGACTGAAGCACTGGGGGTGCCTCGGGAGACTAGAGCTCCCTATGGCTGAGAGTATACCCTTACCACCTGAACAGGATAATGCCTGCGAAGGGAATGTGCTTTGTTTCAAATGGATAAATTTCTGGTCGATCGTGTTCCACGTCTCAATCCATGAAGCCATACGGCCATAATCATAACCTGGCAATGTCAACCATTTCCGAGACGTCCTACATCCATCACGACTAATTCTCATCCCTCGCGACTGCTAATACTTACGATTTCTAAGACATCCAGTTTGACTGCACTAGGCCCCGTACATTCGCTGACGAGACTCGAGCATCTATCCGCGAGACTCGTAGCCCTGGCAACCTTAGAACGAACACACCGAGTTTAATCTAGACACCCGTTCAGTGTGACCACGTACGTGATTCAGCACAGCTCTTCAGCAAGACTCTTCATGATTCAGACAGTTCTATTCTCATGACAAAACTAACATATTCTGTACGAGCACCACTAAATACGTCATTTAGCACGAGTCTGTATTGTATGTCGGTTTAGCTGCCCCCTCTTTTGCCACGCCACAATTCTAGCCTCAAATTCTGCAATTCATTGCTTCACGTCATACATAGCCTCACACCAGACATTATTCAACACCAGCAGACCTCTCCCGGCAAGTCCTTTGATTCAGTTTCTGACAGATCCCTAGAGTTGGCAAGCATTTCTCTGCCTCTAATTCCTCGGCAGGACCCTAGCATCATTCAGCTATCCTTAGGGAGACCCTAACACCCTTCAGGATTCTTCAACAGGACCCTAGCATCCATCAAAATTCCTCAGCAGAACTCTAGCATCGTTCAGAAATCCTTAGCAGGACCCTAGCATAGTTCAGGAATCCTCAGGTAGACCCTAGCATTCTCTAAGATTTCGCAGCATGACCCTACCATGCGTCAAGCTTCCTTAGGAGGACCCGAACATCTTTCAGGATTGGTGAACATGGCCTTAGACATTCGTAGGCACGGCCGTAGGCGTTTGCCAAAGGTAAAGTGTCATTTTACTTAGATTCATATATCAGCGTAGCAGTGGGCCTTCAGTGCAACGACTACTGACATTCTGAAACTGTACTAACTGCTTTGGCCATCACCATGAACAAACTCACTCATGGCAGTACCATCCCTGAATCA